AGGGCCCTAACTACATGAGAGAATGAGGAAATATTATGAGGGAGACTGCCATCGAGGGAAACCAGAGTGTGACAGTGTCCTGAATGTCTGAGACTAGACAAGAACATTTCCCGTTGGGGTGCCTCATTGCAGAGCATACTTTTAAGATTTCCCATCTCATCTCACCTGAGGCCTCCCAAGGTGACTTTGTTGGCTGTGAGACAGAGCCGCAAGGCCATTCAGGGCTGCTGCCCTGCCTGCCTAAGCCAGTGGAGACGCATTCCCAGGTACACAGCTGAGTGGGGCAGCTGCCCCACCATGTTCCCCAAGCACTGAGCACAGTGCTAGCAGTGCTGTGGGCCTGCTCATGGGAGGTGTAGGAGGAAGAACAGGGAGTGAGCAGCATTTCCCTAAGGGCCGCCCAGGGCATGTCACTAATATTACTTAACCTTCATGAATAAAACCCAAAGCCAAGGAAGTAGTTGAATGATACTGTGAGACCTCTGACTGTGGACAGGAACAGAAATGTACCTGTTCCCTTCGTAGTCCAGCATTCATAGACGAAGAGGCAATTAGCTTAGATTAGCTGGAACATTATCAAGGATGGGGATTTGGGGCCCATTATTTAATCTGCTGAGCCTCAGTTTCTTTACCTTTAAACTGGGCATAGTAACACTTGCCTCTTAGAGTTATTGTGCAGTGTAAGGTCCCTGAGGCAGGGAATCACATCTTTTATTTTTTTAGGTAGAAGATATACTTCACCAGCATTGCTAAAAACATAAGGTAACTTCTGTGTTTAATATTAAAATTTTTATGACCCTGAGCCTCTTTTTCATGATATTTTGAGAATGTCTTTCCCCTCCTTTCTAGAGCTTTCTTTATGTGGTAAGTCCAGCAAGCTCAGAGCTTACTCACTTTGAAGAGCTGGCTCTGGCTGCTCTTGTCCCACCACTGCCTGCTGCAGAATAGGCCAGCCACTCTGGAAGTAAACCCAGGGGCATCATTTACCACTCACTGGAAACTCTGCAGTCCGAAGAGAAGAGGCTTGGGAGAAGCCCCCTTACCAGGTCATCACAGGTTCCTACCCAGGCCGAGATATTTTTTCTAGAGCAAATGGCATATACAAGCTGGAATGCTTTATGCTGAAATCGATTTTCCCTCAACTCACAATTTATATTTTCTTATAATATCTAAGAAGAAATGAAATCTTAACTCCAAATCTGTGCCTCACGCCTCATTCCCTTGCTGTCTTACACAAAGGTACACGTCAGCATGAGCTTTTAGCATTTCTTGGAATACTTCTTGAACATGTGTGCTTGTGTTGCAACTTGCCCTATGCAGATAAAATGATAAAAGACAAATGAACAGTTCTTTATGGAAAATGGGTCCAAAAACTGATAAAAATATGCCTTGTGTCATAACCAGGAAGTGAACTGGGAACCGATTCAGAAGTTAATGTGGAATTAAGCTGACAACTTTATACTGCGGTTGAAAGAACCCTGATTGCCACTTCACGTGATGCTGATTAGATAGCCTTCAGAGCCCCGATTCCTTTCTATCTGATGAGAGTTGGTTGGATTGAACGATATCCGGTATCTTCACCAGCTGTAACGTTGTGGAATGTAAGCTCCACAAGGGCAGGTTCACTGGCATATAGTGGGTGCACAGAGTGTTGTCAAAGGAAGGAGTGCCGTCTAACCAAGAACCTCCAGGAACATACCTGAGGTCAAACAGATTGGGTTGACTCGTTGCAGAGAAGGAGAGCGCACACCATAGGACGGTGGGCCATCTCAAGAAGAGGGTGCTAGAAAAGAGTTATGAGATTTAGGTGTGTGGTAGGTAATATAGGGAGAGAGACTTAAGGAAGTGGGACTTTGCTCTAGATTGGATGTTATCAGGAAGCAGAGGTCATTCTGTGATTGGGGGTCTTCTACATCTTAAAGGGAAGACTATAGAGAGGTTAATGCTGTAATTAGTCAAGAAGAACAGTCATTCATATAAGCCAGAGGAGAGGGATGTTTGGTCATTTTTATGTTTGGACAGCGTTCCTGTTTTAGTTCGTGTTCAGATATGAGACCTCAGAGTGTCTTGTTTTTATAACGATTCATCATAGTCATAGTGTCCTTGTCTGATGTTGATGTTTTGTGAAATTGTTTTGTATTCAACCTGAAATTACCAGGGCCAACCTGTGAGTGACAGGCTATTCCCTAACAACGAGAGCCTGACTGATAGGACCAGGCAAGGTCCCGGGTATCAGGGACTGCTTTTCTCTTTCTCACAAGTAAACTAGCCAACAAGTACTTAGGAAACCATTTTCTCCAAAGTGATATGCATATAATAAATATCTCCTTTTCCAAAAGTTCCAGTGAAGTTTATTTGGTTCTCAACTCTATTACAAAATATGGTTAAGATGGGTGAAATTTTAAATGTTAGAAAACTGAAAGAGTTAAAATTGTATATTTATCAAACCTCTCTGGAGTGGTGATTTATTTCATTTTTTTCTAAGTAAATTTTTAATAAGAAATTTTATACTATGTGGTAAAAATAGTTAAAAGATTCTAAAAAACATATGTATTGCTGGTAGGAAGGCAAGCAATGACATCATCCCTCAAAAGGATAACATGGTGTTATATATCAAAATTGTAAGTGCATTGTTTTTTTTGACAGTGCAGTCCCACTTCTGGGAATATAGCCTATACCTATACCTGTACTTGTGTGAATGACACATACCAAGTTATTCATCGTAACATTGTTTATAACAGCCTAATACTGAAACAACCCAAGTGTCCAGCTATAGGGGATAGTTATAGTAAATCCAAAAAAAAACTATAGTAAATCCACACAGTAAAGGACTGTGTAGCTATACATGAGAGAATATACTGATGTGGAAAGATATCCAGGATATATTACGTGAAAAAAGCAAGATAGAGAGTAGTACTATCTTTTGTAGAAACAGAAGACAAAACAACACTACAAACACACAAGAAACTAAAAAAGCAGTCACCTAGAGGGGAACGAGTGAAGGTGCAGAATGTGCTGGATAGGGATGTAAGGGAGAAGGAGAAGGAAGCTTCTCATTATTTGTTCTTTTAAATATAATTTTGATGCTCAAAAAACAGTAATTCCACAATCACAAAGAGCCAGTTCATGAAAAACAAGCTGCAGCCAGGACGAAAACATTTCAAAAATGTTCAACCCACCAGCACTCAAAGGAATATGAAGTGAGTTGGGTAAAACTTAAATATATGTTAAACTCATTAAAAAATTTTTTAAAAAAGGATGAGCAACATCATTATGAAACTTAGGCACAAACTGCAATGCAGAGTAAAGTAGCAGCCTTTCAAACACAGTTTGGAAGGATGAATTGCAAGCTAGAAAATCATATCTTTTGGCCCCGTAATCTCTTTTTTGGGAACTAACTTTGAGAAAATAATTTAAAAGATGGTAAGAGGCATAGATCTTGAGGATGTTCATTATAATGTTATTTGTACAATCAAAGAAATGGTAAAAAAGCTCAATATCCTGAGGACATGAGAATACAGGCTAACTTTGGTTTATTACTTTAATGAAATGTAGCCATTAAAAATCAATACAAAGTCTAGCAACATGACATATGTGCATTATTTAATGTTACATAGAACAATTAATTATGTCTTGGTCCTGATTACAATGAAAAGAAAGCTGTACATGTGGACAAGAACAGATAGGAATATGGAAATCTAAAAACAGTTCGATCCATGGGAATATCAGAATCGTGGGTGACCTTTTTTTTTGTTGTTTTAGTCCTATTAATATTTCTCTTCATTCTTTCATGCTGCTGTAACAATATCATAGACCGGGTGGCTTATAAACAACAGAAATTTATTCCTCATAGTTCTAAAAGCTGGGATGTCCTCAAGTCAAAGCACTGGCAGATTCGGTGAGAACCTGCTTTAGGGTTCATAGATGGCTGTCTTTTCACTGTGTCCTCACGTGGTGAAAGGAGCTGGCTAGCTCTGTGGGGTCTCTCTTATAAGGACACTAATCCTAATACGAGTGCTCCACCTTCATGACCTAAGCACTTCCAAAAGGTCATAGCTCCCAATACTGTCACATTGGGAATTAGGTTTCAACATATGAATTTTGGGGTGATAGAAACATTTAAGCTATAGCAATATTGTTGTAATATTTTTATATAAGTATAACTTTTTAAAAAATTAGCAATGAATTAAACATGGCCTCAGATAGGAAGCTTAAACTGGAGTGATCATTTTATAATTAGAAAAGACTTTAAGAATCATTTGACCCTACCTGTTCTTCACTCTCTTCACTGTGATGGTTGCAGGAGTGGAATCTAAAGTCAGAGAGCTTGTGACTCTTATACCTGGTGGGATATTGCAGGTGCCTGGACTACTGAGAGCTCTCATTCTCTGCTCAGGAACTAGCCATCTCTCTGTTTATTAAGCATGGAGAGATGCTTCAGAATCTTCAGATGTTAATTCTGTATAAGAGAACAGAGAAACTGGAAGCAAACTATATTCTCATGTCTATGTAATTCACTCTGTATCTAATTAAACAAAAGCTAGTATTATTTACTTTGTAGTTATTAAAGGTATTTTATTAAAATTATAATAGTGCTTCAATACATAAAGACCTATTAGAGCATTATTTATCTTTGTTCCTATCTTAAGCTTAAGGTTAATATTTTTCTGATGAATACAGCTACAATAAAAGAAGACCCAATGAGGAAAAAAATGCTATAAATATTTTATTGTGTTTTTCAGTTTTATGTCCCATCGCTTGATCTTTTCCTAAGATTGAAAGACAGTTTCTCGGTGTCTGTGGACTTCTGCTTTCATTTCTTGGCTTATTTTCCAAGTTTGGTATGCTCTAGTAGAGATCATCGTCACAGTAAAATGTTTCCCAATTAGCAAATATAGTTGCCAAGCAGGAAAAAGATGTTTGTGTGTGCCCAAGTCCCTACTCATGCCTGCCAGGAAAGCAGATTTAGTGTTAATTCCTGCGACAAACGTGTTTTTCAGGGTGGATCACTTGTACACGTTCTTTGTTCAGTGGTCTCCTGACGTCTACGGGAAAGATGCCAAAGAGCAAGGCTTTGTAGTGGTGGAAAAGGAGGAGCTGAACATGATTGACAACTTCTTCAGTGAGCCAACCACCAAGAGCTGGGAGGTGAGCACTCAAGAGGGGGCTTTGCTGTTGTGGTCCTTAAATTACAGTATTCATTCAAAATGTTCTCCTGTTCAGATTTCAAGAGCTTCTTGGCTGGCAAGAAGTTAGATTCCCTGTGCACCTTTGAAGTTAAAGGGGAAGAAAACTCTCTTCCTCTGTTTGAATCCGGTTATGTGTGTCAGAAAGACACCACCACCACCACCACTGGGTCATTTCACTCCCCTTAAAATTGCTGCTGTGTCTCCTTTATGTACAGGATGAAATTCAGGCTCCTTAATTTGGAGCTTTTCCCATTATAGAGGCACCATAAATGAGATGAGTAGAATTTAACATCAAGGAGTATAAGTAAATCATTACAATATAATGATATAATTGCCATTGTAAACGAAGTACCAAGTTCTATAGGAGACTGGCCAGTCACCTGTATGGAACCAGAAGTGATCTGAGCTGAGATCAGAGGCAGAAATACAGGCACTTGAGGTAGGATTGGGACATGGAACATGTTCTGGCCAGAGAGAAAAGTCTATGCAGAGGAATGACCCAAGGGAGAAACAGAAAACATGGGGCATTTGATGAACTAACAAAAATTCAGTGTGGCTAAAACATAGAGTCCAAAGCTGAAGGACTAACAAGAAATGAAGCTGGAGAAGTAACCAAGGGCAGATCCCAAAGGATCTTATGAATAGGAGTTTGGTTATTTTCTTAAGGGCAATAGGGAGGCGTTGATCTGTTTTGAGCCTGGAGAAGTATCTACAGACATGCATTTTGGAGAGCTCTCTCTGGTGAGTAGATGTTCAGTAGTTTGGAGCCGGACAACACTTGAGACTTGAAGACCCATTACGAGGCTCTTGCAGTAATCAGTGTTGAGAAAGTACGAGTGCAGCAAAGATAGAGAAAATTGAGTGTTTTTGAAAGATACACAAGGCTTTGTGAGCAATTAATTACATGTGGAAAGTAAAATGTTGAGATTAATATCTTGAGTTTTAGAGAAGGAACCGTAGGGATAATAGTACCTGCCCTTCACTGAGGTAAGGAGCAGAACAAGAGGATTAGATTTAGTAGAAAGTGCTCTGCGTTCTGCTTTTAATCTAAATTTGAGAGACCCATAGAATGTCCAAGAAACAACTGAGAACAAAAGATAGGGTAAAGATCTAAAGATACACCTTTGGAAATCATTAGCAGAGTTGAAGTTATGAGTGTAGATGAGGTCATCCCAGCAGAATATGTCAGTGGGAAGAGAGCAGGGCTCAGAACAGAACCCCTAAGGAAACCAGCTCTAAAGGGTCAAACAGAGACAGCAGAGCCCACAAAGGTCACTGAGATGGAGCAGCCAGGAAAGGGAGAGGGAAACAAGAAAAGTCATGTCTTAGAAGCCAAGGGAAGAGAATGTTTTAAGAGGCAGGTAATTGCTTAAAAATGACCAATGCTTCAGAGGAGGCACAAAATAAGAGCTAAGGGGTGTCTTTTGGATTTGAAACCAAAAAGTTAGTTGGTGACTTTGACAAAAGCAGTCTCATTAAAGTGGTAGTTTCAAAATTTATATTCCAGAGGTTCAAAGAATGGGTGGCCGAATGGGGACGAGTAGGTGGAGCTAGTAAAAGTGTGCAAACAACTCAAATTTGGTTTTAGAAAATGATAGAATATTAAACTGGAAGAAGAGGTGAAGTTGGGGAAGAAATTTCCCTCTTGTGAAAGAGACTAACTTTTTAGATGAGGTCAGTGGGAACAGCAGAGTAGAAGGCATAAAGGTAGGAAATGAGGGGAGGAATCATCAGGAGATTGGACCCTTGAATATCTGCAGGAATGTGTGTGTAGTCGTGGGACTGGCCATAGATAGGAGGTTGGACAGTAGGAAAGAGTAGGATGTGTACAAATAAAATGTAGATTCAGTGGTGATAAGTCAGGACATTTCTCATTGCATGGTTTTTTTTTTTGAAGTAGAAGGAGGGGCATCTCTTAGAAATAAAGGAGGAGTTAGAGGAATATGGAGAAGGTATGAAATGACAACTTTGGAGACTAGGAAAAATGCTAAGGAACTGTAGCAGGATGGCAACCTGGTACTGAAGATCTCATCAGTGTCTGCACTGTTCATTGATAGTGGCACCGGGTTGCAGTAAGGGTGATGTTCTCCAGATACATCAAGTGGGCAGCCATATTCTTCTAAGGCTAGAACCTTGTCAGACTGGAATGACCAAAGGTGATAAGGCTGGTCCCTGAGGTCTAATCCCTACTGGAAGGCCAGGTCCTTCCATATATGTGTTTGCAGTCACTCTTCTCTTGCTCATTCACTCCCTCCCAGCATGAATGTGTGTGTTTGCATGTGCACACACACAGCTTTCTATGGCAAACTCCTGTCATCCTTCAAAGTCCAATTTATTTGTCACTTCCGTGATGCTTTCTGAAATAGTTACTCCTCCTGTCTCCCTAAGCCCATTGCTCATAACTCTATATTACTCAGCAATTTACTTGTTTACATGTTTTTCTCCCCATAGTTCACATGCTTCTTCTTTGAGACCATTGTTTGAAGATATTTAAGCCTATCTATTAGCTTCTCCCTCCCTTGGCTTTTTGTATCAATTTTGTTTTTCCTCCTATCCTTGGCCAGTCTTTCTGAGTCTACTTTGCTTGTCTGTAATTTTTCCTTGGCTCTCTTCTCTCCTTATCTGTTACTCTTCCTTGGATGAGCTTGTCACCTCTTGAGGTTTTTGCTGCTGACTCCAACATCTGCCTCTACCACATGCCTCTTTCTCCCAAGCTGCTACTCTAGAGCTCATAGATGCCCCCACAGGCACTGCTGAAAGTTTCCACAAGGCAGAGATCATGTGACACTGGCATTCTGACCAAGGCACCCAGGAATATCAAGTAGTGTCCTTAACCTAATCATATCTGCCAGAGAGACGCTCATGAGATGTGTGCACAGAGGAAGCAAGTTAGAGAGGGTGCATCTTCTTACCGAGGCTGTAGTTTCTTGCCTCAATGTGGATTTCCAGAGAGAAGGTTTAAGTTGCACTGGAGACTTAATCCTTTCCTGACTAGACCTGAATATTTTGAGCCAAAGCAGTTCTCTTAAGGTCTATTCTGCTTCTTCTGCCTCTTCTGCCACTAATCCCAACCTTGAATCTGCGCTCTTGAAAACTCCAATGAGAGAATAAGTCACACCTACTAGTACTAGAGGAAAAGGCGCTAAATTGGTACTCAGAGAAACGTCTGCTTCAGAATCTAGAGCAGAATGAAGTAGGCTGGGCAGTCTGCCCCATGCTGTTTCAGATTGAGCCACTGAGAAAAATGCAAGAGGGCAATCCCTCTAGAATGTAGCCTCTAGACCTATATCGAAAGAGGAAGAAAGTTGGTCTGATCTAGGTTCATAATTCTCTTGCTGAAACTCGGGACACAGGGAAAGAAAAGATGACTGGAGAGAGAGGTGACTGGACTGGTCAGGCCACATGGAAGAAAGAGTCCAAAAATGCAACAACGTAAAGAATGCTGGGCAAACTCCCCCTGCTTGCAGAAGCCAGCTCTCTCTACTAGCATTCCCTTACAGCCAAGCCACCTTAGCACCTTTCCTTTCCCTGTGGGTAGGGATAAGAGACCTTCACTTCTCTGGAAGCTACAGAGATCTGATCCTCAGCATGTCCAAAACAGCTCACAATCTTTCCCCCCAAAAACACATGCCTCTTATGTGTTTACATCTTAATTAGTGATGCTCCAAGCAAAAAATCAAACCAGGAATCTTCTCAGATTCTTCTCCTTTGTTGGCATATCTAGTCATTCATCTCTAGGCAGAATCTTTTTGATTCTGATCTTAAACATGGTTTAGAGACCCTGGTTCCCCTCTACCACCACCACCCTAGTCAGCCTGTCTGAACCCTTCACTTGGACTCCCAAGGGCACTTCCAATCCTAACTGAACTACCGGTCCATCCTCCCATATGCAAGCTCTTTAAATTAGCTTTATTTCCTAATTTATGGAAATAATACCTGACTTTAGGAAATTTGGAAACTACAGAGAAAACTATAATGCAGAATATTTAAAAATATTATCAAACCACACAATACTTTTGTACAGTTCCTTAGACTTTTTCTATTCTGCTTTAGGATGTTTTCTAAGAGGTGAGGGTGGGGAATAAATGTAGCTTTTTATTTTTTTCCAAAAAGGGATTATGTATAGTTTTGTGTCTGATTTTTCTCATCTGAAATGTTGTGGTAATTATCACATTAAAGATTTTTAAGCCTCGTTTTTAATGGTTGCATTATATTTTTGATTTCAATTATGACTTATTTAATGATTCCACACGTTCAGGTATCTTTGTGTGGTTCAAGCATTTAATTCTTAGTTTCCTGGAAGTGAAATTACTTGGTTTAAGGATACTAATATTTTAACATAATGCCAATTTAATTCACCAGCAATGTGTGGGATACCCTTCTCACCATGCTTCTGCCAGCAGAAAATGTTATTACTATTATTTCTTTCTAAAAAGTTTTGCTAATTTTGAAGCTGAGAAATGATACATTTTAATTTTTATTTCCTTGATTATTATTGAGTATAGAATGAATATATGTGTATGTTTATATTATATATAATTTGTGTTTTTTCTTTGTTGTGATGCCCACTAATTTTCTTTGCATGTTTTTCTAAAAGAATCTTAATAGTTTCATCACACTCTTTGAGTTCTTTATGATTAAAGATATTAATTGTCTCTATATTTTTTCAGTTTTTTATTTTTTTCATTTTTTTATGGTGACATTGGTTAACGAAAATGTCTCCTATATTTTTGACAGATTTTCTTCCTAGTTTGCTATTTGCCTTTTAATTTTACTTATGTTTTTGTTTGTGGTTTTTTAACTGTAGTTTTTTTGTGTGTATAGTTGGTCCTGTAGTATCAATTTAAACTCTATTCATTCTAAAGTTGATTTATTGATATAGTCAATATTTTAATAGTTTTTTTTCCAGCACCATTTAATGATTTGTGATGTTTTCTTCATCATGCTTAAAGGTCTTGTATATGTTCTATGCTATCTGTTTAATTTGTTTAAATAAGGGAACAGGGAGGTATCATAAGCATGATCTATACTCTCATGCTTAACAAACTCAGTGGCTTTCTATCGTCCGTAGCAATCATTACCCACCTGTCCATCCACAAGAACCACCACTTGGCAAATTATTTTTTTTAACTGAATCCTAGACCCTCCCCACTAGAAACATTAAGTCAGTAGGTCTGGGGGAGGAGTATTGGAATCTGTATTTTTAAAAGCTCCTAGATCAGTGGTCCCCAACCTTTTTGGCACCAGGGACCAGGTCCTATGAGAATCTAATGCCTAATGATCTAAGGTAGAGCTGAGCCGGTGATGCTAGACTGGGGAGCAGCTGCAAATACAGGTGAAGCTTGATTGCCTGCCACTCACCTCCTGCTGTGCAGCCCAGTTCCTAACAGGCCACAGACATTACTGGTCTGTGGCCCCGGGGGTTGGGAACCCTGTCCTAGATGATTTTGAACAACCTTGTTTTAGAAATACTGTCATATAAGTTCTAAGCCCCTTCACGGCACCGAGATTCTTCATTTTCTCCAGTTCTCCTTCTCCAACCTCATTTCTATTTCCCTTGCTCTCTATTCTCAAGCTATAATGAACATAGAACGTATCTGTGTGTTTCTGCTGTGCCCTTCACCTGGACATCCCACCACCCCACCCTCTGCTCTCAAACTGAAGCCCCATCTCCTCTGTGAATAAGCCATCTCAGAACTCTAGCAGGCCCCAGCCTCCCTCGGGCTGCTATTAACTATTAGCATTTGTATCACATGGAATGGCATTCATTTATTATAAATGTCTCTCGACCGTCCTCACCCACTCCCTCACTGACTCGAGAATCAGAACCACTTTGTGTCCCTGTGCCTGGCAAAGCACCTGGCTTTCGCCATCATATAGAAAGTGCTCAGTAACTGTTAGCTGTCATGAAGTGCCAGGTTCTTAAGGGAATGCCATCTCACTGGCACAAAATTCTAGTGATTCTGCCCCAGATTGTGTTCAGGCTCTGGCATTGAGAATAAGTTCTGGCTAACCTGGGACTGATCACAAAGTACCTGCCAGAGGCCTTTTTAGAGCTGACCCCCAGGATGAGCTATGCAAGAGCACTCTGATCCCCTCAGCAAGACCAAAAGACCATTTGGGATCTGGAAAAGCCACAGAAAGATCACTGGAAATCGATTAATGGTGTTCTACATTTCTTTCCAATTGTCTAACATTAGATCCGGGGAGTAGAGCAGGACTCATTGTGCCTCTAAGTCATTAAGATTAATATCCTAAAAAATAAAAAGATTTGCCTTTTTTATTTTTACTTTGCCAGCTGTTTTGAAAAGCTGAATCTAAAATAATATTTTCCTCAACTTCATAGAAACCAGATGTTTTCCTATTCTTTTAAGTATCCTCCCACCCAGCAAACATGACATGGTATTGAAGTGAAATGCCATTGTTCTCAGTGTAATGAGCCTACCTCTGGTAAAGGCTCCTTTTGATCGTCCCCTTGGGATTCAAAGTGATGTCAGGGAAATTACGTAAAGTTTAAAATGGAGGTTTTGCTTTCGAGTAGGTACTGGAAAAAACTCTGCAAAGGCAGGGCTAGAAAAGCCAGCTTAGCCAGAGGACAATTAGGAAGAAAAGTATAGGAAGGGAAAAAAAAACAATGGTGTTTGTCGTATGGTTAGGAAGCCACCGTTTCAAAGGTGAAAGTGTCATTTTACAGCCTCACAGCTATACCTGACAGGAAGTGTGTGTTTGCTGTAAATCCTAATTTGGGTGTGTTCCTGTAGAAATGTTGAACCTCTCCAAAGGGAAACAGAAACTCAATCATGCAGGAAACTAGATACTACAAAGAACAGTTGTAGCTCAGCGTGGGTACAAGTAACAGTGGTGTGAAGGCAGACAGAGAAAAACTCTGTTCCCTGTCAGAGAGCAAGCAGACGGTTCTCACCTGGTCACGATGAAAGTCCGAAGATTGCCCTTGGACATTCAGATTTTATATTGTGCCAGACCCAACCAAGAGCCTTTTGTGAAGGTATGTTGGAGCCCCGAGAGCTAATGAGGTACCAGTGAATTCCCAGACTTCTGCCACCTGCCACTCGCTATGGTTTGAAAGGCTTTCTTAATTAGAAAAGATTGTGCTGACATTTCAACCAGAGCAGGTATTATATTCATTTTGGAGATGGGTATGGTATGATTTGCCTCTTGTTTTTGGAGTCAAAAATCTATATTTGTTTTTTTTCCTTTCTACAGCCTCATTTTGTAACTGTGTTAAATGTAGAGTTCACCAAAAAGATATGCTTTATTAAAACACATTTAAAATGCTGGATGTGTGATCGTTTGGTAGTGTTTTCTTTAAATATGTTCTCCTTGAGAAGATAATAAAATCTATAAGCTAATTTCCTTACCTGTAAATCTGGCTTAGACAACAGCAGGTACTTTATATTAATCACTGTGCATTTTGGAAATTGCACAGTGTATTATCTGACAGCTTTGACTAGCTATAATTTAAATGTTTTTCCTCTATAATGCAAAAGTTATTAATACTTGTACCCAAGAATTTTGATGAATTAGTCACTTTATATAGTTTTTCAATTTCAAAATAATTCAGTGATTTATCCAGACTTTAGGAGGGACAAAAAATAGGTTTAAGGTGAAGTTGACTTTGATAGTTCATAAACATAGTTGCAGTGAAATCATAAATGTTGTGTACAACATCATGTTTCTCAATTTTAGAGGAAAGACTCCTTTAGTAGTGTCTGAACTGTACATGAAGAATCGTAACCCAATTATAATTTAAACTAAAGCTTAGTGTTTCTTTGGATTGTTGCTCCTGATAGCTGTTACCATTTGTCATTTATATCAGGGTTGGTTGCTATGTACATAATCTTAAGAGAAAACATTAGGAATCTTGATTAAAAAAACTATCTAATCTCTATAGATTTACAGAATGATCTCTGATTAGACCTGTATTTCAAGGGTACAAGTTGCTTGTGGAGTTATACATAATTCTTGTTCAATGACTGAACAATCAATCAACAGCAGTAGTAAAAGCGGAAAACTTGAGGTTTTAATGTGTATGTATTAAGTGTCTCAGCTGTACCTTGTTAAAATCTGCATTTGTTCTGAAATTGAAAATTAGCCATTTCCCCAAAGTCCTGATTCAACTTATGTCCGGCTGCTAAAATTCCACCTGTTATAGGCATTTGTGTAACTGAGCTCGTTTTTAGCAGCCAAAAGAAAAGCAAATACATCATTCTTCTTAGCTAATTTGTCTTCATTTCAGATCATCACCGTCG